CATAGTTTGCATAACAGTTTACGTCTCTATGATAACTGTTCATCTTTCATTCTGAAACATGTAAAATCGCATTCTTATTATCTGTTAATAAAAATAAATAAGATTTCTATTTCATGCACACGTTTTCACCCACGAAAAAGTGAACAGTATTTCTAATGATCCGAGCATAATGTTTGCATTGACAATCTAATAATGCACTTAGACCCTGGCTATAGATACATTATACGTAATGAAATCAAAATGTATGAATCGATAAAAACGGAATTTACTTAATTTTTTAGTGCTGAAATTCATGTCGTGACTTCTCTATGCAAAGACTACATTTTATCCCAAGACACATTATATTGGAACACGCATGAATATATTATCCTTTCTGTTACCATTTCTGAAAACATTAGTTTGTTAATCATGGGTTAAAAGTGTTTTATATTTTTTCTTTTACAAGTATGTGCTGCTTTGTTTAACATTATTAAATTTCCTCTGTTTTCATGTGCTGTGTAACTAATGAAGCTAGTGGGGAAATTGTGATTGGACAAAAAAAAAAAAACATTATTCCAGTTAATTAAATAACTTAATTAGTAAAACCTGTGTGATCCATTTATTGCTGTTGTTTTCTAAGGATATTTTTTATATATATTTATTTATTTATATGCAGTGTATTCTATACTCTACACCAGGGGCCTGTACTACGAAGCGGGGTTACTGGTTTATCGGGGTAACTTGTCGGATTTAAGGTAGTCTTGGCAAAATGTAAGTGAGCGAATACGAAGTCCATTTAAACTGTGGTACCTTAAATCCGACAAGTTACCCCGATAAGCCAGTAACCCCGCTTCGTAGTACAGGCTTCAAATCTGGACCTTGATTCCAAATCCAATTCCAAGGCCTTGTTTTCAGTTCTCCCAGGTAGTTTAATAATTACTGATTCTGATTGGTCAGAGGCTTCACATCTGGCTCACAGGTAAAGGAAGGCTGGAAAACCAGCAGTGCCTGGACCTCGAGGACCAAGATTTGAATAATAGGGCTCTACACAGTGGTCATCTTATATGAAATATTCACATTCCCAAATGTTTTAAATATGAAATGGACCTGCTGGTCTAATGAGTAAGGATGGGTTAGGATACTCAGAGTTATATTCACTAAAGGGAAGAACATGGACATTTAAAGATTAACTATGACAATATGAAAGATAACTATATCTATATTTCTGTATCTTTAATAATGTCCTACCACCCTTAACAGAGAGGGGAGCAGATATTTATGAAGTGTTTGCATCTATAATAATGTCCTATTTATGCTGGCAGGATATTATCACAAGGTAGGACAAAGTAACAGATATGGTTATAAATTTCCGCTACGGGTAGGAAAATATTTTAGGTAGGAAAAAATTTCAGAACACCGGCATACCTGGATGATCCGTACGACATTGGCGCGCAAATCGTGAGGGGCTCTCTCTGTTAATATGTATGAAATGGAGCAATGGCATATAATATGCATACAATGTATTAATTAATAACTGTTACAGAGAAAGTTATTCTGAAAACCGAAGGGTTGTGCATTGTTCCCTGTTGTCCACTGATCAAAGCACACTTCATTAGATGTGCCTGTCTTGTCTAGTTTTTAAGTTATTAACCCATTCATGTATTGTCGACTGAACAGTATATGGATACATTCGAAAATTCAAAAATTAATTAAAATTCGCATGTAAAGCAATCTGGGAAACAACGGGGTGTGCAACAGTCGCCATGAGCCCAAAATACTAAACCACCATATATCATTACAGCTGAAAGGACCTATTATATTAGCTATTAACATGATTTGGCACAAATCACAAAACATGTAAAGCTGAAAAATAATTGGTGTGCATCGATGTCTGCGTAATGGACATCACAATTCTGTCATTAAAAACTCCCACCTTACTTCCGTAAAGATATTAAAGCCAGAAAACTGAATATGGAAAATGAGGCTAACTTAACCGCGGTGACAGGTTCCTAGTCGTTTTCTTACTACACATATGCTTCTGTTTTGTCCTGTTGTAAATCATTTAATTGTTTGTTAAACAGAGGCTCATCTTAATTCTATTAAGTGTCATATGAACAGACACCATTTTATTATTAGCTGTAAAACATAGAAACACGCTATTAAGTGCAGGCTAGACACAACAAATCTTTCATAATGAGTAGAAATATAAATACATAGCCCTACCACTTGACATGATGTTTTTATATTTCATCTTTACTTGCTGCCACGTACGCTTTCCACTACAATTGCATTTGAAATCGGATCAGTTATTGTTAACATTAGGTTTGCATTATGAGTATCATTACAGTAATGGAACTTCAGGGAGCATTACATTACTTAGCAGCATATAATATGTAACTTCTGAATTGTGTCGCATCTGTTAGCCTCTGTAATTATTAACAATATTTCAATTCTTTTCAGAAAACACTTCATTGTCTAATACTCGGTCGTGAGATATTTTAGACCACGTACGTTTTATGACCGTGAAAATGTACGTATGCATTTTCTCCATTGTCAATACGTTGCCGACAAGCTTGCCTGCTTTTGTTGGCTGCAGTGGTATTGGACTTTCTTTACAGCGTTGATTTAAACTCCTCATAATCCTGCATAAATTTTAGCATGCAGTCTTCCTCCGTGAAACATATGGAGATTGCGCTATGAGTCAAACGGTGCCTTGCGTTGCCGAACGTGCTCCATATATGTGAACGCGCACAAAGTCCAATGCAGTTAACACCGATTTAACAAATCAACTTCTTAACTGGCGTCATAGTACTGATTAGCCCCGATGGAGTCAACCTGATTTTGTCAACCTCGCGTTCGCAAATTACCTCGGGTTAAGTCTGATTTGGTTAAACCCCCTTCGTAGTATAGGCCACAGGTCCTCCATCGTGGTCAGAAAGGTACACCATCATTTTTACTTCCTGAGGAGACTAAAGAAAGCCCATCTTCCACCTCAGCTCCCAACAAACTTTTACTGATATAGCATCGAGAGCATCGTGGCCAACAGTATCACGGTAGGGTAGAGTAGCTGCTCTGTTGCTGACCAGAAAGCCCTGAAGTGGGGGGTAAAAACTGCCAAGTATATCATCAGTGCTGAGCTCCCCTCCATCAACAACCTCCAGAAAAGGGCATGCAACATCACTGGCGATTCCTCCCACCCACACCATAGACTGTTTACCCTGCTCCAGTCTGGAGATGGTACAGGAACATACACTCCCACACCAGCAAGCTGAGTAACAGCTTCTTCCCCAAGTTGTCTCCCTGCTGAACTGTCAGCACTTCCACTAATCTCACACATAACTATGGACTACACACCCCCTCATCATAATTGTTTAAATATATTATATTTGTGTATACAATACTGCGCAAAAGTAGAGGGCAGTGAAAGAAAATGATATTAAGGTTAAGGTTGTCATAGTTGCAATTAGGGTTATGCCCATAGAAATTAAATGGAGAGTCCCCTCAAAGTGTGTGTATAGTACTTTATTTATGTAGTACTTCGCAAGTGTTTTACATAGATGTAAATGAGGTTTTCTCTGAAAATACACAAAGAATACTAGGACAATAGTGTGTATGATAATATAAAAAGAGGATGGTGGGATTGCAAAATATTTGTTACTCGAGAGAATAATAAATATGCAAATATGATTTAATCCTGAAACACAATGAAAAACAAGTTTTCGAAAATGAGAGGCCATCTGTTTAATGCACGCAATTCTTGCATCTCAACATATGGCTGGCTAAGATTAACTTCCTGCCAATCCAAATATGGGCAGCAGACAAAGAAGAAGGCTGACTATTTGTACCATTGAAGTGGGTTGTGTGCATGATTCATCCAGCCACCGCCCACACCGAGCTCTCTGCTGCCGCGTTGGAGTGGAAGTCTTGGAAGAGACGTGGAAACAGTGCAACATGAGAGAAGAAAGATAGTAAGAAGATCAGGGAGAAAAATCTGTAAAATATGAACACCCAGTAGTAGGGCTAGAAGTAAATAACGATGTCCCACCAATGGGGTGCATATGTGGATGCATGCTTCTAATTGGCTGAAAATGCAGACAGACACTGCTGATTGGCAGACCCTGAGAGAGATGTAAATCCTGCTGTTTCAGAATGATGCACAGTGCATGTTTATCTTGAAGGAGACCCAGAATTGCCAGGTTCTCTGTGGCTGTACCCTGAATCAGAGCCTGCTTGTCCCACCTGGCTCTCTCTCAGAAGCTGGATATTTACATACATGCTCTCTCTGCTATAGTTGGTACTACTGCTGGAATTCACACAAGAGCCACAACAAAGGCAAAAAGCCCTCTACTCCCTCCCAATCCCAAACTCCCCAACTCCACATCCTTGAGAAAGAGAACACAATAACTATTCACCCTATCAAACAAAGAAATAAAAAGCCAATTTTCTCACATTACCTTCACCAGGGGAGAAAGCAGGGCTAGCACTCAGACCAGGCGAAGCAGCTTGCAGTCATGGCCAAAAACATCACATGACTGAAAAGCCACCTGCTCTTCTCACATGACCATGCTAGGGATTATGGGAGTTGTAGTTTATCTTCCTTATATTCCATGATTTTTTCTTTAGGTTGAAACTTTCTAAGATTCTCTTAATGACATTCTGGGGATGCATAATTTTCATACATCTATTAATTTTTTTTTCAGGATTGTAATGCTGTTTTTTTCTTCTTTTTTTCTTGAAATAATGATGATGTAACTCCACAGACAAAGGCATCTTTAAAGAAAGTACTGAAATTGTACACAAACATAGACATTCAGTGAAACAGAAATGAGTATACCCGTAATGCTATTTCCATTTTGGGCTAAAGTCATAAGCCCTTTTAGACCTTCTCATCAAATTGTTATTGGCTGGATTACTGCTTGTGTTCTAGACTGCTGGATAAGTAGGTCCTCAAACCAAGCTATTAACACCAAACTTTTCTCAATTTAGTCTCTTATGGGCTCCTTTTAATCCAGTATGGCTCCACACGCATGGACAGACTCCCTATAAGGCAAGTGTAGGCAACTGCATAAGGCCCCCAAAAACCTTACTTCCAGAAATTACATTGATGGATATACGATAATATGATCAAATTAAATGAACTGTTATTAGGACGTAGTGACAGTTTTCAGTATAGAAAAAGTCCCTTCTTAAAGACACTGTCCCTTCTTAAAGACACTCCCACCCCCCATTGAGGACAATAATTATTGGTTATCACTCCCTGCCCACCCGATCCTCCTGTCTCCTCCTTGGAGTGGCCCTAATGAGCCAGGCCAGCTAATCGTTTGGCTTACCTCTCATTTCTGTCCTTGTGTTGCTCACTGCAGCTGCCTCTCGTTTGCTCCCTCATGTAGTAGTGTATAAAAGTGTTTCCCAGTTCTGTCCTTAATGTTGAGTCTGTATGTATGCCCACGTCCTTCCCTGTTCCCTCTGCCTAGTGTTCTGACCCTTGTGGTCTTTTTTTTGCTCCTCCTCCCTGTTATATTCAATAATGCCCCTTTGGTTTTCTTCATTGATTGCCCTTGATTACTTAGTGTTTTTGGATTGCTATGTAACAAGCTGAAGCACAGCTGCTAAAATGTAAGCTGAAATGGAGTTAATAAGAAATATCAGAAAAGGTACACCAGAGCTGTGCAGCGAGAGTAGAATCCTATGGGATTTATTTATGCAAATGTGGGTGGGATCAGGTGGTGGAAATTACAGATGTGAAACAAATGTGTGATAACATTTTATTAAAATACTAATAATTATTCCAGTAGGAATTCTAAGTAGTTGGCTATTCAATAAAGAGAAGCTTGTTGTGGACTGGAGTTACAGAAACAATTTCACAGACAAACATTTCCAGTGCTGTCCAAGCTTGCCCACCACATCTTGTGTGTCCCTGCAACTAGCGATGTCTCGAATAGAGCGTTCAATGTGTGGACACATTTTAGAGCAGAAATGGACATGCTTCCATCCTGAATGAGTTAATAATATAATTTTTTGCATTCAAAAATAAAAAAAAAATGCCACTGGAAAGCATATGATATAAAAAATCTTGGAGCATGTTTTAACGCATATAAATTGTTTTTCATATTCTTATCAGTTATCTTTTTTAAGAACTTCATTTTGAACTGGTTAACAGTTAACTAAAATAGTTTTTCCCCCCCAAGTAATGTTTGATTCAGTGCATTGTTTCCATAAAAATTCTGTAATTTTATATTCAATGACTAAATGAGCTTCAAGCGCCAACAGTCTCAATGCCAACTCATTTTCCAGTGCCTTAGTATGCAAAGCTTCCCTCTCTTTATCAATTTCTTTCTCTCGTATAGAGAGCTCCTTCATGCGTATGGCATCTTTCATATCAACAGGTGGCAAAACTTGCTTTTCAACTAGGATAGGCACTAAGACAGATTTCAGTACATGCTTTAACCGTTTCTCAGAACTTGTCAACTCAATATCGAAATACTCCGCAACACTCAGAAGTTGTTCTTTAGTTAGAGACTCAAACACCTCCGAAGATGGATTCTCCACAAACTCCCGCACTACCGAAGCCATTTATTTTTATTTATTTTTTTTTTAAGCCCAAAACATACAAACGGCTGCATTTTAACAACTTAATCTAAAGTGGTCATCAAAATTCCCTAAAAACACATGACCACAAGTTGTCCTCACACAAAACCACGCCACTAAACTGACAAACTGCCGGGTTAGGTCAACTAAACGGGTAAAACCCATACAAAGCAGCCAACAAAGACCCAACCCGAAATACAGCTTGTTAATCGCTACACTCAATAGCGCACAACACTAAAGCGACCACAAAGTAGGCTATGCTGGACGTAAAACAGCCCGTCACTGCCACATCCCAAGCCTGACTTACAAAGCATGAAAAAAAAAAAATCCAACTCACCTTCCCCACTAGTCTTCAATGGTTTCCCGACCCGGCGACTTTAAACATTAAACTCACGAGCAGGGAGCCGACCGAAAACACAGTCTACTCCCATACCCCGAAACGTACCGAGTCAGAAATCCCATCAAAAACAACAAACTAACAAAATAAAATGACAGACTCAGTCTGCCCGCCGGCTACCTAATTGGGATGTGCAACGACTCAGCGGTCACCACCTATCAGCAAACTCACCACAGGGTCGCACACAAACTGCTACTGAAATTAACTCAAAAGATCCCGGACGAGCCCCCAATTTATGTTACGGCCAAATCAATGACCGCAACATAAAAGACCAAAACCGACTGGTTTTAGGGTTTTTATTTTACAACAAATAATAAATATAAACACCAACGCAAATGTCCAGGAACCACGAGAGAACAACAAAACAAAAGATCAACTCAACAAAAATCTCAGCAGCAGGAACACTCAGCGTGGCATCGAATATCCTACAAATCTTTCTCCAGTCCAGGTAGACCCAGGGCTTTAGTAGGGAAGACTCCACCCATCCAACAGGTCTCACCTGTAAACAATTAGAGATTGAAACCACCACCTGCAATCTAAGAAAACCTATAATGCAGTCCTAAGCAAAATAAACAAAAACCCAAAGAGGGGCGTAACAATGATCATATTGACTACTTCAGTAAAATAGCACATAGGTATGGATTGCTTGATATATAAATGAATAAATATTTCAATGATTAAATGTGTCCTTTTATTGTTAAATGAAATGAAGGGTATTATTTCACAATAGCATACTACTCATGATCCTATGACAGTACCATACTTCACAACCTATTCTTTGCCAAATCTCTGTAAACCTGACTGCATGGCTAGGTGCTTGATTTTATACACCTGTGGCAATGGGTCTGAATGAACCACCTGAATTCAATGATTGCGAGGTGTGTCCCCATACTTTTGTCCATATAGTGTAGAAGCATAACATATCGTATTGTAAGTCAGGAGTGTGTCATCAGCTCACACACTCTGGAATGCTCTGAAATGTGCATAGCTGCTGACATATGCTCTAACAAAGCTTTATATTGCAGTATGCAGGCATATGCAAATTTAAGGAACATCACTGGCTGAATTCCTTGAAAATTAGTGTCTAGAGGGTAAAAAAAGCTCTGTGGATACAAACAGAGAGGGAAAATGCTATGTTGAGTCATATTCTGTCTCACGGTTTATACCCTGACGGCATTCCCTAAGGGGGAACTTGAAACTTGCAGGGTAACAACATAGTCACAATTGCATCATCAGCCAAACAGCTGCGCAATACTGTACATCACGGGGGAAGGAATTTGGATGGGGAAGTATGACAGCTGTCTGCGCTTGTTCGATGTTTTTGTAATGCAACTAGTTCTGACTTCAGACACAATGAAAACATTCAGGGAAAACTTGATCCAATCACATGTTCAGTCCCAACCCCTCAAAGTGATTGACACAGTGCATCATTACTATGAAAAGAAGCACTATGAAATAAAAAGCTGCTTTGGAAAACCACCATTCAGAAATACATCATGTGAAAAGCTGAACTTTATCGTGAAATATCATTTGTATTATTTAAATAATTGCATTTGCCTTATGTAAAATATTTTTAATAATGACTGTTTAATGAAAATCAACATTACGAAATACAATTTAAAGATTATACATAGAAGACATGTTATTATAAAATATTGTGGTATCTGTTGGCTCCAGCCATAATGCCACGTCAAGAATGCAGTCTGATCCCAAGCTGTTTTATTAGTAGTCCTGAACAGGACTACATCAGGCACCAAACGAGCACCGAAAAACAATTACACATAAGAAACAGAAGGTTGTCAGACGCTGAACTCTAAGATACACACACGGTGGGAGATTTACGGAAGCTAATTATACATGAGGATCGGACAGGGTACATGCAAGACACGGGCAAACACACGCGCAACAATAAGGAATATAACCATTAACAATAACAACAACAATACAAGGGCTGTTTACAACTTGCATGCGGGGCATGCTGGGACATGTGCAAATCGACCAGACGGCACTTGGCTCACCGACGCCACAATATAATACCTTTCATTCAATTATTTTAAAATAAAAGGACCCAATTACTGAAATATTTATTTATTCAGTTATATACTGTATATTTATATATAGTTATAGGTTTCCTTTTGGGTAGTATGGCATTCCATATATAGCTGGCAGAAGCATAAGCACTCCTTCATTAATAAGAGAATTTGCAGGATAAGCAGGTGGTCAAATATCTCGCAGGAGTGGCCAATATGTTGGCGGGAGCAGGATCTTAAAAAAGGCCCTGCACGTAGCTCTAAGGTATGCTACTAGTAAGCCAAACTCATGACTCTCAGAAGAAAGGATGCTGTCCTTCATTTATGCACTCTATCAGACAGATCAGTGCTTCCAGCTTATTTCAAGATCTAGCCTTAGAAACTGGCCTCTGAGTAAGCTTCCAGATAGTTCACCAAACAATACATTAGTTATTCTTCTCCAGTCATTAGCGGTACGTTTACATGTGAGAAGTATCAGTTAGTCGCTAGGCTGACGGAGAA